AATACCCAACTGGTGCATGCCGTGGGTGTTTCCACCAACACCTGGCAAGACTCCTGCTAAGACTCTCGGCAGGAGAGTGCCCTAACTTGGGCCTAAGGTTCACTTTTTCTGGGGCGCTTGCTCAGTATCAGAGTTTCCAACAGCATGGCGACCGCAGTCCGACGAACTTACTGCTTTCTCTTTTTGACAGAGAGCGCTGGCGGCAGACGGATAAACCGATAAATCTGGGGATAACAAGATGTCCCATCCGATGGGCCATCGCCCCCATGCCGACGATTGGCAGTGTCTCCGGCTGGCTCCGAAGCTCAACTCCGGAGCTGGCTCAGCAGCTCCGGAGCCACCGCCACACTGCGATTGCCGGCCCATTGCCATGTTTGTGCTTCATGATCCCCGCACACAGCCAGCTCCAAGACGTTGGCACGAGCAACGGCACCAGCGACATCAGCATGATCGTGCTCAAAACCTTTGAAAGACCCGGGTTCGGAATGCACACCAAACCTCGTTTTAAGATTTCTTCTCCGCTTTGGAGGTCCAACATGACTTTTCCAAAAAAAAGCCGAAACGAAAACGGCCCTGAAACCGCCTCACTGACTGGCTCACACTCAACGGCAGTGCGAAAGTGTCAGCCGTACAGTAACATTACAATTCAATGGTATTATACGGTTGGGATGCGCCGATTCCCCGAAAAAAAAGTTCAATTGTATTATACGGTTCAATTGTATTATACGGTTCAATAGTAATTAGCCCCCCCCGGTAGCTAGATAGCTAGCTATCAGCTAGCTGTAGCTAAGTCTCACACTGTTCACATTGCATGTTCATAGGACCTCCAGTCTCGAAAAATTCCATCTGCAGGTCCGAAAATGGTCGGTTTCGAGATTTTGAGGACACGTTTGAATCCGTTGAGGACAGGGCTTTCCGAATATTTGGTCGGATAAAAGAGGTCGGCACCCGAAAAAATGGGGTCCTGGAGATCGGTTTTTCTCTCTGCATCCAGGAGGGGGTCAGATTTTGATCGCTGGGCTAGCTTGCCCACATAATCGCGCATCCCAGAACTACTACAGGGGTCCAGGAGGGTGCGGAAACCGTTAGGCTATGTCGCCAAACCTCGGGCCAAAATTCGCTTTTAGCGCCTGCTCAGTTGGAATTCTTATCGGAAAGTGCGAGATCGTCATTTACTTTCCAGTGTCCCCGTCCAAAAATTCTCACTCGGTAGTGAACAAAGAATTTCTGCCTTTTTTTGTGTCAGAACTGACAACCAGCCATACGGAGGCGAATGAACGGGACCGGGCCGACTGGAAAATCAGCGGTCAGTTGGGAGACTGGGTTAGACGAGTGAACGAACAATTCCAGAAGCTGACCTGGTCAAGGGGGCAATTCCCCTGGAGAGCGGTATGTTAGGAAGAACGTGGACGGAATGTCAGGCGGTTCTACATTAACACTGCACATATTTAATACTGGTTCGGTTCGCTTCGTGTCTGCACATTTTCTCTACTGTGTCTGTACATGTAGAACACAATGAGGATGGGCTCTAGGTAGCGAAGACTGCGAAGTTCGGTAGGTCCTTTGTTTTTTGGAGAAGCAGCAGGAGGCCTATGCAGTTGGTTGTTGAGAAAACTTGAGGCAGAGTGGAGGGAGGGGGATATCTAAGTGCGGCGCGTCTAAGCTTCTCTGATACGTGACAATGTAGTGCGAAGTGTTCTAACATGGTGGTATTCGTTTTTAGGTGGCAATGCCAGCAAATGCCTTTTTGCAAGGCGTGTTTCCTCGCGTTATCACACAGGAAGTGTTTATTAACGCAGGAGTGACCGGTTCGCAGCGCTATCAGTGCTGTTTCGGCTTGTCTAGTTAAAGTTGGCTGTAGCCACGTGGGGCTGCCACGTGGGGGTACACCTGGCTGAGTCGGTAGGACGAGGGACCAAATTACCTCTATGAGGTGAACAACGACGGTTCGAATCCCAGAGAGACTTTCCAGGCGTTCGGGGATAAGCTCCCGGAAGCAAGCCCTAGCTTCGATTCCTTGGAGGTAGGACCAAACAAACAACGGAGTAAACAGCGGGTACAATGAACCCCTGTACTACCTGCAGGATTAGGCCGTCTAGCCTCGCCTAGGCTGCAGTAAAAGTTCCGCCATACAGAACAGAACAGAACAGCGACGCGGCTCTTCTGAGCAGCGGATGGACGGTGCTTGTTTTTCATTCATTCATTTAGCAGCCTAAGGGTAAGCTATCCTAACAACGACTATCTGGCGATGGTGGCATGAGTCACGGTCGGAGTTCTACTCCATGCACAGGAAGAGTCCATCCTTCTTCTTTCCTAGTTTGACAAAAGGAACAAAAGAACGACTTGCCCGTACAAGTAAATGCAGTTCTCGCCCCCTGCATGTCTTCCGTAGTTGCTTACTCAAAAAAAAAAAAAAAAAAATGCCGTCTTTTATTTTATTTGAACATGCAATGTAAATAGCCTCTATTCGAGCCAACCCGGCTTCTCCTGCAACAATTCTGAAACTGTATTGTATTTGGGACTAGATAATGGCGCTGAGCAAGCTTTATTTTTCCCTGGCGAAAAGCATAGCCGGGGCAGAGTCAGCGGGCGCCGGCCTACGGACCGTGCCCAGTTACGGGCCAGTACACAGCCATAGTCAGTCCCCAACGTCCCGCCGGTGCCTCGATACCCGGCCGTCAAGGCCCTACGGGGAGAGGCACCGCAATCAAACAAGCAACCGTGTGCTCCGCCACACCACACCATCCTTTCATTCCACCATGCTTCCCACATCCCAACACTCTCCCCCCCTCCGAGTTCCAGTGGCAGAGAAAGAAAGAAAGAAGCCAGAGGTCTCCCGGGTCTTCCACCTGGCCTCACTCAACCGCCACCTGGCTGGTTTGTGTGAAAGGCTCAGATACTGGACACCCACGCACTGATAACCCCCCTGTTCCATAGCCCATCTCTCTTGCATGTGTCTTGTGTCTCTCTGGCATGCCTTCCGGCCCGAAGAGGCCCGTAAAGCCTGCCCGAAAACTGGAACGCGACTCTCCGGAGCCGCCAAAAGAATGTGGTGCCTCTTGCAAAAAAAAAAAAAAAAAAAAAGCGCAGTGGGGGCCGTCTTCGACTTCGCTGGCATCGATCTAGCCACACAGTCTTGCCTGGCGACGATCACGGGCATCGAGACGGACGCATCCGCCTGGGCCCTGGCTTCCCTTCCCGTCAGGCTGGGCGGCCTGGGCCTGCACTCCTGTGCAGACACAGCGGCGATCGCGCACATCGCGGCCACCTTTGACGGCGAGGCTTGCCTGTCGTCCCTGGTGACCCCCTACGTCCTGCCGCACGCCATGCTTCTCGACGAGGACGACACCTTTCTAGCGTCCCTTGAAGACCCGCGCCTTGCACCCTATGATTCCGTCCTGGAGAAGATCCAGAACGTTCTGCAGGCACGGGATAACTACGGGGGGCGTGGACAGAAAGTGTGGTCCGCGACGGTTCATGACGAGCGGCGCAAGGCCCTCATCATCTCGATGACTGAGGAGCTAGGCAGGTCAGGCCAGCTCCAAGGGTCGGCGCTGGCCCTGAAGCAGGTCCAAATCCGGGCGCGGATCCAAAGCTGCTCCGGCCAACATGCGTCCGCGTGGCTTTACGGCAACGCTGAAGCAGACCCCAGGCTGTGGCTATCCCCCGCGGAGCTCGCGGTGGCCATCCGGCTTCGGCTCGGGTTGCCCATCGCCCCCACGCCGAGCATCTGTCGCCTCTGCGGGACAGGCTCGGCAGACGTCGACGGAGTGCACGCGCGTAGTTGCTTCTCCGGCGGCCGCCGGACGAGAATGCACAATGCACTCCGCGACGTCATCGCTGACTTCGCCCGCCGCGGGCTGCTGGCCCCGGCGGTCGAGCGCCCCGTGTTTTCGAACACGGAGCGGAAGCGCCCGGACATCAGCTATGTCCGGGACGGCACCACCGTTGTGTTAGATGTCGCCGTCACCTTCCCCCTGCAGCCATCGAATCCCCAGTACGCTAAAAGGGCAGCGGAGAAGCCAGGGGGGGCGGCGACAGCCTACGCAACAGCTGTCAAAGAAGGGAAGTACCGCGGCATCATCGACAACGAGCCAAACCCCCGGGAATGGCTCGCTGTCCCGCTAGTCGTGGACACCTTCGGAGCGTGGTGTCCTGGAGCACTCACGGAGTTGCGGCAAATAGCCCGCAAAAGCGCCCTCCGTGAAGACCGGACCGCTTCGGCCGCCTGCCAGGACTTCTTCCACCAATTGAGCTTTCAGGTAGCCCAAGGGGTGGCAAGAATAGTCATTTCATCTGGCGGGGCGCGACCGGACGAAGCGGTCCACCCTGTTGCAGGGGGTAGTGTCACTGCATCGCGGGTTTTTTTACCTGGTCGGACCTGCTCGCTAGCAGGCCAGCCCAGGTCGCAGTGAGACTGGCGTTCACTGTGTGCTGAAGAAGCATTTTTTTGGGCTCCCGCTCCGGAAGCAACCGGATACCGGTAGCCCCGCTGTACCAACATGGCTTGTACAGTGTCCCGCGCTCCAAAAAAAAAATTTTTTTTTTAATTCGGGACCAAGCTTGGTACTGAAGCAACGAACTAACGGAGCCTCAGCTGGAAAGCCGGCGACCAGGTGGGAAACCAATCTAGACGAATGAACGAGAAAACCGGAGGCCGTCTTTTAGCCCATGGTCCAGAGGTTACCACACCCACACAGGGGTTTGAGGGTCGGTGGTTCGATTCCCGCCGGAAATCGTTTTTTTGGGTTTTTGAAACCGACCGTTTGTCCATCCCAAAAATTCCAAAATTTTGACCCAAAACGGGCTGCTTTTCAGACGGAAAATCTGTGACACTTTTTCGTGGAATGGGTGACTTTTGTAGACAAAAGGCTACAAAAAGCTACAGGAGCTACAGTAGCTATAGCTGCTACAGAAGGCTACTGTAGCTAAACCTCACACTGCCCAATCCCTGAAGGAAGAGAAAAAAGGTTCGAGTCCCCAGTCTCGAAAAAAGAAAACTGCCTGAGCAGCTTGCAGAAATTGTCTGAACAACCCCGAAGGGAAGTCAGACGGGTAATTGGGTAGTTTTCAACCAGCAATCTCTCCACGGCGTCCCTGTTTGGTCATTGCCTATGGATTCTTCCCGAGCGCAAGGATGCCGAATACTCCAACCCCGCCCATCGTTCGCGCAAGATTCGTGCGGAAGCCGTGTCTATGGTCGGGTAACCCCTGAAAATAGCTGCTACCAGGAATTGATATTGTTTGCTTTTTTGAAAAAGTGCCACTCGGGAATATGGCTAACGCACACACTGGCCGGCACCCACTGGCCGTGTGTGTGTGGTGTGTGTGTGTGTAAAAGAAAAGCTGTAAGTGACCAGGTTGCTTCCTTGACTGCACTCATCGCAATGCTCATGCCAGCAAGCCTAGTCGACTTCATCATCCAGCTTTGGCCTTGTGCCAGAGTAGGTAATCTCCAACACGAATGAACTCAAAAACAGATCCTGTGTAGAGTACAGTCTTGCCAAAAACCGAAACGAGTAGAAAGGCCTTGCCGCAGAGGCAGACGCGAAAGAAGGTTTGACACTCACAGGGCAACGAAAACACCCTCTCCGGGAATTGATGAAAATTCGGGCATCTTTTCGCCCACGAACAAAGCTTAGCCCGTTGGTGTGTGTGTGTGTGTGTAAAAGAAAAGCTGTAAGTGACCAGGTTGCTTCCTTGTCTGCACTCATCGCAATGCTCATGCCAGCAAGCCTAGTCGACTTCATCATCCAGCTTTGGCCTTGTGCCAGAGTAGGTAATCTCCAACACGAATGAACTCAAAAACAGATCCTGTGTAGAGTACAGTCTTGCCAAAAACCGAAACGAGTAGAAAGGCCTTGCCGCAGAGGCAGACGCGAAAGAAGGTTTGACACTCACAGGGCAACGAAAACACCCTCTCCGGGAATTGATGAAAATTCGGGCATCTTTTCGCCCACGAACAAAGCTTAGCCCGTTGGTGTGTGTGTGTGTGTGTAAAAGAAAAGCTGTAAGTGACCAGGTTGCTTCCTTGTCTGCACTCATCGCAATGCTCATGCCAGCAAGCCTAGTCGACTTCATCATCCAGCTTTGGCCTTGTGCCAGAGTAGGTAATCTCCAACACGAATGAACTCAAAAACAGATCCTGTGTAGAGTACAGTCTTGCCAAAAACCGAAACGAGTAGAAAGGCCTTGCCGCAGAGGCAGACGCGAAAGAAGGTTTGACACTCACAGGGCAACGAAAACACCCTCTCCGGGAATTGATGAAAATTCGGGCATCTTTTCGCCCACGAACAAAGCTTAGCCCGTTGGTGTGTGTGTGTGTGTGTAAAAGAAAAGCTGTAAGTGACCAGGTTGCTTCCTTGTCTGCACTCATCGCAATGCTCATGCCAGCAAGCCTAGTCGACTTCATCATCCAGCTTTGGCCTTGTGCCAGAGTAGGTAATCTCCAACACGAATGAACTCAAAAACAGATCCTGTGTAGAGTACAGTCTTGCCAAAAACCGAAACGAGTAGAAAGGCCTTGCCGCAGAGGCAGACGCGAAAGAAGGTTTGACACTCACAGGGCAACGAAAACACCCTCTCCGGGAATTGATGAAAATTCGGGCATCTTTTCGCCCACGAACAAAGCTTAGCCCGTTGGTGTGTGTGTGTGTGTGTAAAAGAAAAGCTGTAAGTGACCAGGTTGCTTCCTTGTCTGCACTCATCGCAATGCTCATGCCAGCAAGCCTAGTCGACTTCATCATCCAGCTTTGGCCTTGTGCCAGAGTAGGTAATCTCCAACACGAATGAACTCAAAAACAGATCCTGTGTAGAGTACAGTCTTGCCAAAAACCGAAACGAGTAGAAAGGTCTTGCCGCAGAGGCAGACGCGAAAGAAGGTTTGATACTCACAGGGCAGCAAAAACACCCTCTCCGGGAATTGACTCGACCGGCATTGGGTGGCGCGGCTGACAGTGTGGGGGCTGGCACCGGTGCTGGCCGGTGCCCGGTGCTGAGCACCAGCACCGGGCACCGCGGTGCTCCGGTGCTGGATTTCGGTTTTCACACCTCAAAAAAGCTCAAAAAAACAAAAAAAAAGTGTTGAAACCATAGTTTGGGCCTCGTTCTCGGTTTTTTGAGCAGAATTTTTTTGAGTTGCGTTCGACTCTTGATTCGATGGTGATTGGCTTGCTGATTATTGTTGATCGAGTTGAATCGGTTTGAATGAGAATGTGGCGGTGCAAACATAGCTGTCAGCCACAAGGTAGCCACTAGTGGCTAATTGGGAGCCACAAAGTAGCCACAAACCTTGTGGCTACCTTTGTGGCTAATTATGCAAAATTTTGATACCCAGGAAAACCACGTGAAACTAGTTTTTTCGGCCAGAAAATGCATCTAAAACACAATTTCTGATGATTTTGACAGGTTTTTGGGCCCGAATTTGGGTAAGCTGCTTCGCCCTGGCCTCGTATCCTCAGCCGCGAGTCAGCGGCAACGTTGGCAACTCTATCAGTAACTTCGTACAACACTGCAAGTAATTCAAGGCTTGAAAAGTTCAGAAAACAACAACAAGCTGCTGCATCTTGCCAACACGGTCGCAGCACCAATGCTAATGCCATAGTTCTGGTACATTTTGAGTCAGAGAGTGCACCGGAGGAAGACGAACCCGTCGAAAGCGATGTTGATATTTCAGACCGCAGAGTCAGTACGAAGCTGCCAATGCTTCTGTTGCCAAGTTTTGGAGCAGGCAAGGAATCAATTTAGTTCAAAGGGTCGCTTGTCCGCAAACCCGTTTCAGTTGCGGGGTGCATAGTCTCCAACTTTTCACCCAAACCACGCCGGTGACAGCCGTACTAGTAACGGCGATGCACTGATATTCTAAGATACCCAAGGTTAAACAGGACAGCAACGACCCAGCAAACGGAGCATTTCACAATTACGACAGCTCTTCTACTCGGTACCCCGTCACCAGCGAGTTTGCTTGCTTGCTTGCAAAGTGCACAGAGCTCGCAACTTCACACGGCAGCAGGCATAGTTACTATGATATTACAGCAGGAGCGGGGCAAATACCATTCTCACACAAAAAAACAAATTTTTACCGTTCTCACACAAGTTTCAACAAACCTTACCATTCTCACACGGTCGCAACAAATTTTACCATTCTCACACAAGCTCCGACAAATGTTACCATTCTCACACAGTCGCAACAAATGCTACCATTCTCACACAGTCGCAACAAATACCAAAGACCAGAGAGGCGGGTTTGAACCGTCGCCACTCAAATTCTAAGATTATAAGACCCCAAACTTTCCAAAGGGCCAAAGTGACTTGAATTGCAATGTGTCAAGTTTGGGCACTCTCACCCGGGGAATACGCGTAAAGTAGTCGGGGTTGATTCGTGCTGAGCGGCGTGCTCTTCCCGGGAGTCCCGCCTGCCGGGAGCGTGCTGCCCGTCGAAAGCGCGCGCCAGGTCGAAGGCGAGCAGCATGTGAATCGGCCTTTTTTCCGGTTGATTGCCGCCGTCACGGTGCAGAGCTGCTTCTCTGTGCCTCTCCCTACCGGAAGCCTCCGGACTGAGGAGTCCATCGATGGAGGAACGTGGGGCGGTCTTTGATAATGGTCTCCACTATCTTCCAAAGGGCGGGTGAGTGCGTTCTTGTGGCGAATCCCCAGAAGGCCCGAGGGGCTTTTTGGGGGGCCCGTCCGACGGGGAGTGACTGGTCTAAACGGTGGCTTCGGCAGTCCACACTGCAGCATCTGCCCAAGTGTTGGTAAGTGGTGGTACCGGCCAAATACCTGACTCAGCCCGGGGCTCTGGAGTGCAATGAGAGCTCCAGCCGGGGCTCCGGGCCCACACTGTCTCGAGCGCTCTTCGCTCTGCGGTTGGGGTCCTGATTGGCTTCGCTTCATGGAACCGTCGTGACTCTGGCGCCCCAGGCTTCCCTGCTGCATCACCCTCGCCGCCTGCGTGGTTGCAGCCTCACCGAGTGACCGACCCTCACTGAGGCTCGGTAGACTGCAGCGGGCCCCAGTGCACAGGGCAAAGCAGGTGCCAGGAAAACCCAAAATATGCCCAGAAAACTTCGAAACTGAAGAAATTGGGGCGAAAAGTATCCTGAATGGGCTGGGAACCCCCCCCAAAAAAAAGAGCTACAAAAGGCTACAAAAAGCTACGCTGTAGCTTTTTGTAGCTAAACCTCACACTGCCCTGTAGCTTTCTAATCATTTTGTGTGTACACGCGACTGTGTGAGAATGGTAGCATTTGTTGCGACTGTGTGAGAATGGTAGCATTTTGTTGCGACTGTGTGAGAAAGGTAAGAAATTGTTCGGACTGTGTGAGAATGGTAGCATTTGTTGCGACTGTGTGAGAATGGTAAGAAATTGTTTGGACTGTGTGAGAATGGTAGCATTTGTTGCGACTGTGTGAGAATGGTAGCATTTGTTGCGACTGTGTGAGAATGGTAGCATTTGTTGCGACTGTGTGAGAATGGTAGCATTTGTTGCAACCGTGTGAGAATGGTAAGAATTGTTGAAAAAGTGTGAGAATGGTGTTTACCCCAGCAGGAGCACACTGACAGTGTGACTGACTCCCTGTAACAGCTGTCACTGAGTGGCACTGTTACACTTGTTGCAATCAGCGTCCGAAAGAGTTCAAGGAGGAGCCAAAGATCCGAGAAAAGTAGCGGGGGCAATCTCTCACACGTCTTGGAAATTCCTCGCAGGCTCCTGTAGCACAGGCCCAGCCAAGGCACAAGGGAAAGTTGAAAGTGACTGACTTGCGACAATACCAGTCCAGCAGGGCAGCACGGGCCGCAGGCCCGCGGCAGGGAGCTCAAGCTCAGTCACCATCCGCCAGCTCCTGACTATTATCAGACGGCTGCCACGTTTTCTTTGCAGCTTTCTGGCAGCATTCAAATCTGTTTGGCTGCGGCGGTACTTGCCGCTCTCTCCCACTCCTCCTCTGGGGTCATTCAAGAGGCTCGGAGAGCGCCGGTCGCGTGGTTGAGAGGCCCTCTCAGAGGGTTTCAGGACAGAAATGGTAAGCGCTTTGCAAGTAGGCGCAAAGTTTTGCATTCCGCGGTGTAGTTTTCATGCCTGGTGCCCTGAACGTCGGAAAGCCTCAACGAACCACGCAAATACTATGGGTTCCCTGGGTCCATTTTGCACAAATCTCCTCATCGGAGCTGAAACTGCGTGAGCATAAAGTCGACGAGAAAGGTCTGCTCCACGGGCCAGCAAAAGAATGTCACAAAATAGGGGATTTATCATTGCAAAACTGGTGGGTTCCTTATCCGCCGTAACCCGGTGCCCTTTACCTCGTATGAACCCAAGAAACGCGCACATACTTTTTGGTCGCCGGATCCATTTCTCACGGCTCTCTTCATCGGAGCTGCTCGCGAGCAAAAACTCGTTGAAAAAGGTCTGCTACGGGGTGGTTAAAGTCAAATACCAGACCCAGCACCGGAGAGCACCGGAGAGCACCGGCCGGTGCTCTCCGGTGCCAGCACCGGTGCTGTGGTGCCAGCCCCCACAACGGTATGAAGTTCTAAGTTTGCCCAAGCCGGTTTTGAGACCAAAAAATGAGCCGCGCCAAAAAACGGGGCCAAAACCCATTACAGTATGTTATCCAAACTTTGAACCCATTACGGTACATGATCCAAACTTTGAGCCCATTACGGTATGGTCCCAAACTTTGAACCCATTACGGTATGGTTTTCCAAACTTTGAACGAATTACGGTAGGCATAGCTGTCAGCCACAAGGTTGCCACATTGTGGCCCCATTTAGCCACAAAGTAGCCACAAACCTTGTGGCTACCTTTGTGGCTAATTATGCAAAATTTTGGTATCACGGAAAACCGCGTGGAACTAACTTTTTCGGCCAGAAAATGCATCTGAAACACGTTTTCTGACGATTTTGACAGGGTTTTGGGCCAGAATACGGGTTAGTTGCTACACCCTGGGCTCGGCATCCTGGTTGCGCACCCTGGGGTACCATTGGTAAACGGTTTACTAAACCGCTACTGCTACTAAAGTAGTAGTAGGCATTATGCACACAGAATCATGCATAATTCAGGTTGGCGAGAGTGACAGACCCATTCTACTTGCAAAGCGCTTACCATTTCTGTCCTGAAACCCTCTGAGAGGGCCTCTCAACCAGCGACCGGCGCTCTCCGAGCCTCTTGAATGACCCCAGAGGAGGAGTGGGAGAGAGCGGCAAGTACCGCCGCAGCCAAACAGATTTGAATGCTGCCAGAAAGCTGCAAAGAAAACGTGGCAGCCGTCTGATAATAGTCAGGAGCTGGCGGATGGTGACTGAGCTTGAGCTCCCTGCCGCGGGCCTGCGGCCCGTGCTGCCCTGCTGGACTGGTATTGTCGCAAGTCAGTCACTTTCAACTTTCCCTTGTGCCTTGGCTGGGCCTGTGCTACAGGAGCCTGCGAGGAATTTCCAAGACGTGTGAGAGATTGCCCCCGCTACTTTTCTCGGATCTTTGGCTCCTCCTTGAACTCTTTCGGACGCTGATTGCAACAAGTGTAACAGTGCCACTCAGTGACAGCTGTTACAGGGAGTCAGTCACACTGTCAGTGTGCTCCTGCTGTACTATCATAGTAACTATGCCTGCTGCCGTGTGAAGTTGCGAGCTCTGTGCACTTTGCAAGCAAGCAAGCAAACTCGCTGGTGACGGGGTACCGAGTAGAAGAGCTGTCGTAATTGTGAAATGCTCCGTTTGCTGGGTCGTTGCTGTCCTGTTTAACCTTGGGTATCTTAGAATATCAGTGCATCGCCGTTACTAGTACGGCTGTCACCGGCGTGGTTTGGGTCCTTTAGCAGGAAAAGTTGGAG